TTTTAAGGAGGAGGGGAGTTAACGACATAGCCTCACTGCAGGTAGTTAACGACATAGCCTCACTGCAGATCACGTACACCATGATAAGCGCTTACTTGTAAACAGCATCAAAACAATAGAACTTGTTTTGACATGCATTATCACGAACTGCAACGGACAAGCATTGGAACAATAGAAATTGCACTATCCCTACAACATACAATAACAACCCAAATAGTTATCTACTAGTAAACAGTAAACAACAGGCATCTCAATAGTTATTTCGATAACAACCGACGCATTTCAATAGTATAAGTAGCACTAAGATTTATGTAAACAAGTTAGTCTAAAGAATATAATTAAAGAACACGCACTTCAGCGTAGTAAATAAATATATGTTGTTTAGTCTTATATCGTAAAGCGATATTAACTAGCGCCCCCAACACTCATCTCTCACTTAACTACCGTTTTGTATGTAAACAATAGTTTAATTATTTTTATGCACACAATGTGTTATTGTTTATTTAGGTATTTTTCGCGATCACGGTTTGATTTTTTATATTGCTGATGGCAGTTCGCGACGACACAAGACCCAATAATAGTTTGGTGTGTCTTTCGAGTGTTAAGTATCATTAGTTACACGATCAATATGATTTTTTATGGAGCGAATAAAGAACACGTCCGTACTCAACCGCAACTCTCTTATTCACGATATGATGTGGATTACGTTCTTAATGTTTAGTAACGATGATATGGTTGCCATATTGTCAGTGCAAACTATGGTTTTCAACTGCTCTCAATATCGCAACGGCTGCGTAGCAGTGATATGCTTCGAGTAACCATTTGGAGTTTCGAGCCAACACATTGCAAGGCAACTCATAGGAATGAGTTGCACTCCAGTACCGCAATACAAGCGAAACAATTATATGTTTCATGAAAAGCTGTTCAAAAGTAAAGCTTGTTTAAAATATATGCAACCAAGGTTTGGTTTGAAACAAATGTACATGACAATGAGTTGAACATTAAGCAGACAAGTACGTATGACTCGTTTGATGTACGTACTATCAACTCGTTTCAAGCTGTATATCGTCGTTTAAAGTACAAAACCGCGTATCGTCATTCTGCAAAACCGCGTAACTGACATTGGCTGCCAAAAATTGGATTTGCTCACACAAGCTCTTGACCCAATCCTTATCCATTCGTCCTGAAATATACTATCCAGAAATGCGATTGCTTCATAAAAAAGAGAACCATTTTGAAATATGAGTGTTTTTACGCTCTAGAAAATAATTTCTACAGCTTCACATACGCGGTTTTGCATTTTGTTGATACGCGGTTTTGCACTTTAAACGACGATATGTACATATCGAGCCCTAACCGCCAAAATAACGTAAGCGTTATTTTTTTCAAAATTTTATTTTTGATGCAGAAATATTCCTAGATGTATTTCCTTCCTAAACCTTAGAGGTCGCGCGCAGAGGTGGTCGCGGTGGCCTCTGTAAAGGAGCTCCAAATTCAAGTAGCAGAGTAGCTTTTCTCTGATGTGTAGACTGGCAAACAATGGAATTCGAAAAAGAAAAACGAATACAATTACAGTGAAACCCGCTTAAGTACCTACCCCACTTAGGTAACCAACATTTTTGGGCACCATGAATATTTTAATGTAACCTGAAGAAAATCCCTCTCTATCTCTAGTATCTCCCCGCTTATTTACCCAACCCGACTAAGTACCTAAATCAGGGACTGTAACTGTTATGAGTCTTTTCCATAAAATTATCTTAAGATTGTTATTTTCTTACTTTTTTACCACAAAGTCAAAAGAAATAAATTATTTTTTAACCTATAAAATCAAATTCAACATAATGTGTTATTTTGTGACTTTTATTTTTTTAACCTGAAATAAAAGTCTTTTTTGTAACAGATATTTTTTCTGCTTTTCGTA